TCCCGCGTCCCCCGCGCGCCGTGGTGGGCTACGCAGACGCTCCTCGTCGCTCCCCCCGCGCCGTCTCCCTCGGGGGGGGCGGGCGGGGGGGGGGGGGGGAGCTGCAAGTTTCTACTCCTATACTTTAGCATTCTTTTTAGATTGTACATCACAAAAGAAAAATTTGTTTTATTAATTATACATACAATAGGACTAAATTTTTCACCGATTTGATAGTATTCTTGTTGTCTTGGATTAAATGTTCGAATTACTGCTTTAAGCTAAAATCACAAAAAAAGAGAAATAATAAAATGAATAAAATTTTCTCTCAATAAAAACTTTTTACATTTGTATAAATAAGTGTTGCTTCTATTTCAATAGCACCTTTAACAGGTAACAAGCATTTTTTATCTTTTAACGCTATCCATTTCTTTTTACCATTTTTTATCTTTAAAAAAGACAAAAACTCAATAAGTCAAAAATAATAATTATTATTATTATCATTATTATTTTTCCTACAGATAATAATGGTATTACAACTTTACCAACAAATTCATTATTTTTATTTGTATCTTCATCGTAAACTGTTAATTGAAGTACAGAATGAATATCTTGTACAGGTATAACATATGATTTATTCCAAACAGGATTAAGTGTTTTATAAATTGTATGTGTACGTAAACGATTTGAATCAAGTTCAACAACACAAAATGGATCTGATTTACCGTTTATATCTTTAGCACTAATATCACGCGCTTGATAAACTAATTTTTGTTTTATACAGAAAAGTTTAAAATAACAATAAAGAAAAAAAAAATAGTCTTTACTTTTGATTTCAAGTTTACCGACATCAAATATCGAAGCTATTGATCGAAGTGTTGAAAAAAGATTCTATGAAATAAATAAAAATTAATTTTCAATAAAAAATCTGCATTTATTTTTTCATTACGAACATAATTTTCAATATCTTCATTAGATAATTTTGATGGAATAAAATCAAGAGCAATATTAGCTAAACTGTCACCATCATTGGTTGCTTCTTCTAATGGTGTTGTTCCTGTTATTGTTACAAATAAATCAATTATACCAGCACCATCTTCAAGGTCAACTGGTATTAGATGTGTTCGTTCTTCATCTAAATGAGCCAGATTACAAATTCCTCTAAAAAGAAAATCAAGTACACACGGATAAAAACATTTCTTTTATTTATTTACCGGCCTATGAAATCTTCGATAGTATTAGTGTCATCGAAAACAATTAATTCTAATGGAGGAAGTTCACTAAGAGTTGTATCATACATAAATGATTGATACCATTCAGGTTTATGAGTAGATTTTATTGTCTAAACAATAATTAAATGTATAGAAAAATACAATTTTCAAGAGATGAATTTAATAAAAATGGAATATGTTGAATTCCAATCTGCCTACGGATCTATATTTAGGCTTATATCAGAATCTGAACTATGAAATTCATGGTTAAATTCGAATTTAAAATCCAAATTTCATCATTGGATCAATATTAAAGTCTGAAATTCAATAAACAGACGCCAAAATAGAATTTTATTGGTATTAGACAAGAACTTTTTTCTTTTGCCAACTTTCATGTCATGTATTTTTATCATGCACTATATAAGAACTTGATACGAAAAAGAAAAAAGAAGACATCTTTTATGATAATAAATTATTAGTTATAAATAATAATAAAAGAAATGATAAGTCGAAACAGCCTCCGTCTTCAACTTTCTTCAGATCATAATTCTTTTTCTTTTGCTTTAGATGAAAAATGATTGTTAGAATTCTGCAAACTAAGTCCTGTAAACTGCTAACGAATATATTGGAAAGCTTTGAGCAAGATGTTTGTTCAATTTTGATCCGCTAGAAAAATATTTTCGATAAATCACAAAAGCTATGAATTAGGACCAGGATTTTGTCTAAGTTTTATTCGAGAGTAGTAAGACCCTATAAGTTCCTTTTCTTGCATGTTGACAATTGTCGAAATCGGTTGTTTTTTAGAGCAAACACTTTTCTACAAAATGTGATAGTGAACGAAGTTGTAGCTTGTAACCAAGTATCGTCTTCATAGGCCTTTGTCGTCGAGTTATGATCGATTAAGTGGATTTTCGATTAATTTATAAGTAATTCGTAAAACATCAAATGAGAGAATTCCGATCTACAATATTGTCCACATATAAGTCTAATAACTTTTAGAATATTCTGAAAGTTTTTAAATAAAAAGAATGTTTCTTCGTCAAGATATTGAATTCCCAAAAATAGCCGTTTAATACAAGCATGTCAAAAAAATCGAAACATTTCAGAACATTCTAACAGTCATTAGATATAGCTATAGATAAAATTTTGGACCGAAACTTCGTTATTCAATCTTCCAAGAAATACTTAAAAATAAGTCAAAAAATCCAGTAAATCGGTCATAATTCGGCAGCGAAGACCAATGGGGATAAAATCTTTTCGACTTTTGCTATTTTCGCTATGATCCACCTGTGGGATCCATACGAGCTCAAATGATGTTCATGTCACTGGAAGTAGTTTCCTCGTAAGTTATCTTACTTGTGTTCGATATTTTTTATTGGTTCCAAATTTAAGTTTAATATAAGGACTACAAGGTTTATTAACACCGGCTAACTTTAAATTTCGTCCTTGAATTATAAAAACATCAATTGTACGTCGAGGTAATATAACTTCACTATTTGATCCTAAATGACCACCGATTATTGATCGAATTTGTGATCGCTTTGTCAATGTACGAAGAATCTTAATTTAAATATTTTAAAATAAATCTTCATAAAATTTCTATTTTTTACTTCATCACGAAATTCAATTGATTTTGGTATTATTTTAATACTAATTTTAATTATACCAATTTTTCCATCATTTCTTCGTTCATCTTGTAATTCAAGTGTTGCAGCATATAATTTATGTAATGGTAATCTATATAAATCAATTTTTGTTGTACCCATTGGATCATCACGTCCAATACGATCATGATCAAATAGATTGAAATAAATTGGAATATATAAATCATGTACAAAAAAAATAAATTTTTCATTCCATATTGGATTTAAATTATTTGATACAGTATTTGTTATATATATTTCTTTATTACCATATAAAACTTTAACATATGGATCACTTGAACCATTAATATCTTTAACAGCTAAATCTTTTGCTCTTTCAATACAAATTTCAACCCAATAAACTTCTTCAATATTATTATTATCGTTGGTATTATTATTAGTGGATAATGTATTTGTTAAAATTAATGTAAGTGATGATGGTATAGCCATAACAGTACGTGCGTGTTGAGTTAATTGTTCTTTAAATTTATTAAAACTTGATCGACTTGAACTCAATGTTCGATTCATTTCAGTTATTAGCGTTCGATTTTGTTGTACTTCATCGTTAACTGGCACGTTCGAAGAGTCATTTAATATCATCGTCTTTTCAGAATCATTTTGAATAGTTGTATTAACAACAGAAGATAATTCTAAAGATGAATCAATTTCATTTTTTATTGAATCTTGATTTCCTTCACTTGTAGATGATGATTGTATCTCCTAGAAAAAAAAAAGTAATATTCTATATATATATATCCCTGGAAAGCAAAAGTTGGACTTTGTTTTTCAAATATATTTGCACTAAAGAAGTACATTTTAAAAATACAAATTACATATTCTGAAAGCCCGTGGAGTTCTCTATCATGTTGTATAATTATGTTTTTGTTGAGATCTATTGGTTACCGAAATAAATTGCATACAACGAAGACACCTCTATATCGCGATTCCCAAAAATTTTATTTTTTTTCTCGAATCAAAATTAGTTCTTTGAATTTTTCATCCATATAGGATTATCTATTAAAAAAAGCAGTTATAGATTCTGATAGAGCTTAAAAATCTCTATCACCCCATATATTTGCTTATTTTCTTGCGTTCATCTATCGAAAAATAACTTAAGTACAATGAAAAAATTCTGAATCGACAAATACAGAATATTTGCGTTTTTCGTTGTTTTTGCAGCTCTCTTTTTGAATTTATTACTACTACCAGAAATTCATTTTTTTGATTAAACAGTTATATATTCTGGTAGAGCTTGAAATGCTCTATTGTCCTGCACATTTCTTAACTATCGTGCGTTGGTGTGCTGGAGAATAATTTGAATATTACATCGATATACTCGTTGACAACCTCTAAAAGTAAGTAGCTTTTTTTATTCGCTCTCTCGTTTATTGTTTCAAAAGTGCAGGATGATAGAGAATTTCAAGCTCTACCAGAATATATAATTGCTTATTCAAAAACATTTTCGCATAATAATAATAAATGCAAAAAGAGAACACCAACAGCAACGAAAAATGCCGATTTTAGATACTTGTCAATTGATAGTGTTCACTGTACTAAAGTTTTTCTTAAAAAAAATGAACATAATAAAATAAGTAAATATACAGAGCGATCGAGAATTTCAAGCTCTATTTGAATCTGTGAGCACCTTTTTTAAAATTTGTTTTTAAAGTAACTATATTATCAAGAAAAGAGAAAAACAGCGATTTTCTGTATTTGCCGATTCAGAATTTTTTCATTGTACTTAAATTATTTTTCGATAGGTGGTGAACGCAAGAAAATAAGCAAATATATGGGGTGATAGAGATTTTTAAGCTCTATCAGAATCTATAACTACTTTTTCCTAATAGATAATCCTATATGGATGAAAAATTCAAAGAACTAATTTTTATTGGAGAAAAAAAAAGTCAAATTTTTGGGAATCGCGATATAGGGATGTCTTCGTTGTATGCAATTTATTTCGGTAACGAATAGATCTAAACAAAAACATAATTATACAACATGATAGAGAACTCCACGGGCTTTCAGAATCTGTAATTTGTATTTTTAAAATGTACTTCTTTAGTGCAAATATATTCGAAATACAAAGTCCAACTTTTGCTTTCCAGGGGTATATATTGAAATAAAAAATGCAAATTAAATAAAAACAAATCATCTTGCGATGTAAGCAGAAATGTTTGATGACTACATTGTTCTTGTATGTATTACAGTAGTTTATTCAAAATTACAATAGAAACTTTATGATTGTTGTTTTCGATATGTCGAAAAACGTAAACTCTTTTAGATACGACCTATGAAACATACACTGAAAATTCAAGAGATAATGAGTTACAACAAAAAATAACCTTTTTCTTTTATCAACTATTGAACAGAACATTTAACAACCAGCGAGTGAAAGGAATAAAGATTAATTTTTCTATTCACCATTCTTTTAATTAATGGCGCAGTGTTTTTTTCTATTTATGAGAGAATGTAAACGTCTAAGTTCATACAGTTTACAAGTGATTTCATCAATATATAATATTCTTCGATTAATATTCATATGAAATGTTCGAAATCTCTGCATGAATATTACAAGACTACTATGGACGTGTGTTTCTCACTAGGAAAAAAAACTACAGTATTTCAAAAAAAATTTCATTCTCACTTCATTTGTTTCTTCTGGTATAGCATCCATTTATTGAGAGTGTCAATCTTTACGTGTCGTGTGCCAACGTCGGACAATATAAATTAATAAATATATAAAAAAAAATCGATCAAGCGAATCGACAGGTATAGGGTCTTCATACTATCGTTTGATTTTTTGAAAAAAAAAAAGAACGAAAAACGGTATGACAGAAAGGATGATTTGTAATCGGTTAGTATCAAGTATTTTTCATAAAAATACATAAAACCATGGATGAGCGGGATAACTAGAAAGGTCTGAATCTTTTCTAGAGATGTTCAACCTTTTCTTTCTTTAGAAAATTGGAACGTGCTATGACTGTTTATGTGAACTTTCTATCAAAAAGATTTTCGAAGTGTTGAAATTTGTTTTTGCTTACACCTTTAGCAATCATTTAAAAACAATTTATTTTGGAAATTGAGTAATATTTGTTTGATGAAACATGTCTCAAAACTACAGTTGATTATTAATTGACTGTGATATTTAAAAATAAATAACTTTCATGCAGAAATTTGATATGCATATATGATGAAAAGGCTCAATATTTTTTAGAATTCAAAATGACTTATTGGAATAGAAATAAAAGATGGTAATAATAAGTATTTATAATAATCATTTCATATCGATGATATAGTTCAACAATATTTATGAGGTCAAATAATATGTAATTTACCTCGATTGAGTAAAGACCAATGATATGAAAATTAAACTGTCCATGAGAAAAACAATTAGAGAAAAAAGTGCATGTCAACGTGGCCTTGTGTTTTTTTTTTGCATGCATATTTTCACTAGACTATGTTTATGTATTGGACAATACATCAAAATGCCTAAAAATCTAGTGATACACTGTTTTTTTCATTGAGAGCGCAAAATAATAGTTATAGGACGCGTTATTTCTTAACTGAAACAGATATACTTTTTTCATTCAACGTTTTTGAATCGTGGAATATATATTTGTTTTAGCTCACCTAATAGGATTCGATCGTAATTTTACATTGATGTCTATATATAATAAGTAGAAGAAGAAATTTAAACTTTATGCTATGCTTTGAGAGATTTTGATATATTTGTTGTTTAATTGTGAAAAATATATTCGTAAAATTAACTTTGCCATATTTTTTCCTATTCATCTTCGATATTTTCAGTTTTTTTTAGAAGCTTTTAACTATACAAAATACCATTTCTTCATGTAATATTGACAATTACTAATACTATCATTTAAAACTTCATTTAACTGTTAACTCAATTAAAAATGTTAATTTATTCTCATTAACTAAAATATATAAAAATCAATCACGAGAGAGAAAGTTTAAGATCATACAATTGTTAGATAGACCGAATTTACAAATCATATAGTTTTATAATCTTTTCTTTTTTTGTATAATTTTTCATTGAAACAAATTTTTGATTTCTTTCAAACTAACTTCATAGTTTTCTTTATTAGTTTCCATAATGTTAAGGCCTCCTCCCCCCCTCTCAGAAATGATTTCCCACTTAGAATGGGTCTTGTGAGCTGAAAATTTCAGGGATGAGTGATCCTGGAGAGATACGTCTCTGATAAAAATTTCAGCGCGATTGGCCTTACTAGACCGGAGTTTCAGCTGAATCATAGGTCATTTTTAGCCTTCAGAAGAATCGATATAACTTCACCATAACATGTGGTTAGAGGTGTAAGCCACCGGTCTAAGCCGNATCTGTAAAAATTTGACCTTTTTTTAAAAATTTATATATATTCTGAAAGAGGAAACTTCGCTGCATCTTTCTATGATAAAAACTCGACTTCGATTATTTTACCAAAAAATGAAATTTCTGAGGGGGGGACCTTAAATGATTTATCTGTTGTCATTTCTACAAAGATAAAGATTTTCTTTTATTTATCTTTAATTTTCTTCTAATACATATTTTTACCCTTTATATTTTAAAAGAGCCATCTAAATAAAATAATATTCCAATAATACAATAGTTAATGAAGTAATAAAAGTACAATGCACTTTATCTATTCTTTCATTATTTGATCTTACTTTGAATCGATCAACAAGATTTGAAAAACGAATTTTTATTAAATAGAGTCTTTTGCAAGAACATCTACCCCATGTCCAGCAATCATACATGAACTAAATTACTTTTACCTTATTTGTTCGAAATAGGTAAGAATCATTTTTAAGCGTTAAAAAACGGCTAACTTCTACTAGCACTCTTTATGCTACAAAAATCATTATTAAACGTGTTTTTTTTATTCTCTTCTGATAAAAAAAAATGCGCAGAAATTAGAAAATAATATTGCCTGACTGTAAGAGTTGCAAAGACTTCAAACAAAAAATATGGTTAGTATGGAAGTCAACAATATGTTCAACAGTGTTTTTCAATTTTTTCAAAGACATTTGCATTGTATTTTAGATAGAACAAAAGAGAAACTGTTTTAATATTTCTCATTTTAATCTCACAGGGATTACGCGAACAGATTTTTCTAGTAAATCAGCGACACCTTACATGTACGGCGATATTATGCCATTTAACGACATGTAAAGATGCTACACAAGGAAAAAAACAAAATAGAATTTCTGAGTTTGTATGGTTTATATCAACTCTAACTTCGGAAAATATTTTTTTTTACTGACTCAGACGGAGTCAGGTTTCTGAGTTTGATGCAGAATTCCAACGGTAGACAATCTGATTAATCGTGAAATGAGCTGTTGTTATGAAAACAACCGTTGATTTTCGTCATTTATGCATGGCATAGGATAATAGATAAAAAAGAAAGGGTCATTAAGGAAAAAATGAACCATTTTTTCAAGCATAAAAGATTATTTATATAAATTATTCATTGAAAAAAAAGTAATGTATCTTTTTGATAGATTATTCGTATGAAAACATTAAAAGACAACTTAATTAAAATGACTATTGCGACGCAAGCAAAGTAGAGAGTTTTATTTTGTAAGAATAATGATACAAAATTTCAATTAAGTTTCTTTCTTTTCCATATAAGACTAAAGACAAATAGAGAAAGTAAACTAGTTCATGTGTGTATTTTGTTTTCTGCAGAATTTCTAGTTGTATTTGTTTTGTCAGTAGGTAGGACTAAAACTGCAAGAGTTCGTACTGGAACGACACGATCATTCCAACGTTGATGCCAACAACACAATATTCTTCTTGCTTGTCCTCGAATTTCACTTGATGTTATTATATAAATATAAAAATCAGTACAATATTGAATATAAAATAAACAAATTGCTATTACACGAAAAAACTGAACAATATTTTCTTGATCTTCACTTCGTATAACTTGAATTGTTAATGATCGATAAAGATTTATTGTTGCAAATGGAACAGAAGCAATAGCATTTGCTATTACTTGAAACATGAACATTCGAGTTATATGTGTATCAAAACGTCTTATAAATTGTTGATTATTTAAAGTTCGAATATGTTTTCGTGTTAAATACCAAAAATAAATCGCTAAAACAATGGGTAAAACTCCTTCAAGAATTGGATAATAAACTAAAGCTGCAATCAATAGAAACATTGTTGATTTTGAAGTACATACATAAGATCCATTAGATCCGAGAGGAACATTTTCAAAAAGAATAGCTGCTGGTAAACCAATAAAACACCAAGCACTTACTAATCCAATAACAACTAAATATAAAGACATTTTTCTTGAACTCAATGATCGAATTCGTGCAGATCGAGATGATATTGCATAACGATCAAATGATATAAAACAATTGATAATAAATGATGATGTCACAGTAAATATGGCATAACTCATTTGAAATTTACAAAATGATGTATTTAATGCAAGTAAATTGATTTGAAAACCAAATGTGAGAATATTTGGTAAATAATAAAATGGTAAAAATAAAAATGATAAAATTCCATTGACAGTTATATAAATTGAACATGGATTTTGATTTAATGGATTTCGACTAAATATTAAAATAATCATTAATGAACCAAACATTCCAATAAATATCATTAATAATCCTCCATAGATTAATATTTGACGTGCTACTAGAACAAGAGTTACTGTTGAAAAAAACATTTGTTTTGTTTTGAATCGTCGATATCAATTTATTCTCGTTTTTCCTTATTGAAATAGATAAAATAAAAAAAAAAGGAAATGAACTTTCTAGTTTTTTTTTCGAGGACATTCTATTCTTGTTTTTTTCTACTTTTATTATCATTAATAAAGGATGTCTCGACTAATTTTTGATTAGTGTGATGAAAATCTTTTTTGACGCTCTTTCTTTCTTTTAATGCTTTTATTATAGTTTAATGATATCTTTAGCCAAAAAAGATTCTTTTCAAGAAAATGCAACATTGATAAAAAATTGAATAAAATTTTTAACAAAAAAAGAGAATAATTTTATTTAATAAAAATGTTTTTGACAAAGACATATGAAAAAAAAATGCTTTGTGGATGTCAATACAGATTAGAAATCTGCATCGAACTCCAAAATTCGATTCTGATTCCAACGAAATTTACGTCAAATTTGAAGTTAATGTAAATTATTGAAATTCAGAAAACTCTATTCTATTCTTTTTTTTATGCAACATTTAGTTTTCACAATTGTAATGTCTAGTCAACAATAATTCTCAATTGCATAGCCAAATAACATGAAATAGGAAAAAAAACTATCAATATCGTTCAATATTTTTCATTTTCATCATCTTTACGCAATCCTTAGATGGTATAATATCACTGTACCTATAAGTTGCCGTCAATTAATGAGAAAAAAACTGTTAGAGAGATCTTCCCAAGATTAAAACGAGAAACATGATGTAATTGCTCTTCTATTCTATCTATTTTGGAGCATATTTTTTCAACGTCATTTTACTGAATCATCTAGAAAAGCAATGAGAAAGCATTTGAGTGGTATGCGGATGTGTACATTCTAGTTGCTTATACTCATTCACGAAAATATCAAATTTCACACTTACATTCAAATTTCTGCCCCTATTCTTCAACACTTCTTTTTGATCAAGTTGCGAAAATTTTTTTTCAGAACTCTCTGAGGAATGTAGAGAAAGTAAAAAATGTCAAAGTCTTTTGGAAGAAAAAAGATAGCGCTAGATTTATAACCCATATTGACTTTATTAGCCCCATGCACGTAGTTATTTCTTGAAAATATCATTGACTGAAAAGGGATGTTGTGCTTCTCGTTCTTTTTCGAGGATTTTATTGAATTTGAATTTCCGCAAAAAATAATTTTGGACTCTTCAGCGTTTTAAAGCGGGGTTTTGTTTTGTTTTTTTTCGTCAATAGGTCTTGCTACAATATATGAACTGTTCAAATGGTCCTTATCTGGGGCAAAATACTGATACTTTTCATAAACGTGTTAGAAATTCAGCATAGCACTCGTCACCATCTAGCATGAGTAATAAATTATGTCAAATAATGAACTATGATCCATTCATGCATCATCGTCAGCGATAATCTGGACTATTGAATTATATTATTATTTTTTTCGCGCAGACTAGATAGTCATAATCACTGAACACACTACATTAAACACTATAGTCTGAGACACTGTCGCACACCTGCATGATAACCAGCACAAGTAGGTCAATCAACAGAGTCCTCAACGTGCATTCCACATTCAGATATAAGTATGAATATGGTGTGGATGTGAGACGAGCAAAAGGAAATTGGATATCGCAGACAATATGATCTAATGTTATCATCACATATCATAACAAACAGCTTTCATAGAAACATACTTATTATGGTATTAGTTGAAGAATGATCAAACATCACAGAAAAATAGAACATCGTTTTTACTATCACTATGTATAAGTAGAAAGTTTCCTCGAACTTTCTATACAGAAATAAAGTACATGCACCACTACTTTTGAATTGTTTGAAGTTTATACATATTTACAATCTGTATTCAATAATTTTTTTCTTTTTCTATTTCAAAACTCATATTGTTCGTATTTTTTATTGATTTCATTACAATCAATGATCAGAAACGAACGAAATATACATAACATATTCTGTAAACATAGGTATGAGATCTTTATTTAAGACGTATATTTAATATATTTGAGAAACAATTCAAAACAAACTCAATAAATGATCAGTTTTCCGTGAAATTTGACCTTTGCTAAAAATGGAACGCACAAACATAAGTAGTTACCTACAGTCATTCCTGAAAATATGGAGAAGAGTGAATGCGAATGTTGATATTTTCTTCTCTCACAGCCAAACGTACACCCCATACCCACACAACTTGATAATTTAATATTCGTCTTGAAATGAACCTCAATTTGATTATTTTCTCTGTATTTACTCATTTTCAGAAGTGTGGCCATAAAATTAGAACGAAAAAGATAAATGATAAAAATATTATCAAAATAAGTAATGATCAATCTTCTTTTAATGTCAATGTTCATAGAATGATTCGGGAATTTTGTATTGAAAATAGACAGTATCAACAAACCAATCCCATAGAAAACCTTTAGCAGCAGTATTACCAGTGTCAATAAATATGTTCGGTATGTGTTCAATGAGAGGAATTATTGTTACTATTTTCGATGAATCGAGATCAGACTATTTAATTGATAGCTTCCATTTTATTTGTTATGCAAAAACCTTTTTAAAAGTAGGACTAGGCGTGCTGTACCATCGTGACGCTTGTCCAATAATAATTTTAAATGGAAAAAGGAAGTACGCTTATGACATTGAATACAATGAGTTCTAGTCATATGTACTAGTCGAATTCGAACTAGTCTAAAAAATAGATGTATAATGAAGTAGGTTAGTTTGAAACATGCCGATCGCTTAACTGATTGAATTACACAACCAAGTAATTTGCTTCTACATGTTAACAAACACTAAGATGCTATTGAATACAATTTTCTACAGAATTTCTCAAACTTTAGCATGGAGAAAAAAATTTTCTACAAAATACAGAAAACAGTTACATAAAGTTGAATATAACTAATTTTAAAATTGTTTTTATTTTTCGAAAAAAATTTTTCTTATCATTAACATCTAGGAAAATTATTTTAGATTGAAAAAAAAATAATCTAAAATTTTCAAAAATTAATTTTTTTTTCGCATCATAGTTAAAGTATATTTTAATTTCCAATTTTCGTAATTTAAACTTATAGATAATTTGAAATTATATAATTTACATATTCTAAAATTCATATTTTAACTAAAACGATATAATAGCATAAAGAAATTAGAATTATTTCTAATTCACTTCCCAGTCTATGAAAATTTAAAGAACATTAATAGAGAATTTTTGTTGAGAAACGATCAGAATACTTTATATCCTCATGCACTTCTTTAGGCTTCAATAACACTTGGTATTTTTACTATAAAAAAAAGTGCAAATCCATTACTCTTCAAAGAGGTGCTCGATATATCTTTTGATACAAAACAAAAAAATTATAAATGATGTTATGAAGGACTCTTCGTATTGTAATTTGAGTTAGAAAAAAAGTAACAACATCAAAAATAGTCTACATGTATGAATAAATATTTAAGAATCAAGATTAATTTTTATAATTGTGACGTAGTAGGTCCCATGTACTTGTCAATGAAGATGAGAAAAACGTGTGTTCATATGATATTGCATCAGTCGATTCTTAATCAAAAAATAATAGCAAACTGTTTATCATTTCTACTATCTGATAGACTAGTCGAGAGTGTACTTTCTCAGAAAAAAGGACTACTATCGGCGCCAGAATTCAAGGCAGTCGGATGTTTTTTGAATAACTTTTGATAGGAACAAGATAGAGATCTGCGGTTTTCACCGTTTGACAGTCACGACCCAGGAGCATATTTTCATAAGCAAAATCTTTTCTGAGAAAAATTTTGAAGATGGACTTTTTAGAGGATTTCAGGAAAATCATGCTGGATTTCTGAAAACTGCCATAACAGTCTATTGATTTTTTTACACGTTAGGAATCAGCATAAAAAACTGAGTCGAATCACATATCTTTCGAATCTTTTCACGAACTTTTTTTTTCGTCGAAAAATTCACCCCTGATTCTCCTGAGGAGTCGATCAAAAAACAAAGTCAGTCAAAAAGTCACTTGGACAACGGAAAGCAAGTTTGAAGCTTCTAAAATGCTAGTAGAACACAAAATAGCAAATGAATAAACAATAAAAACAGAGTTTTGGCTGACTTCATTTTTTGACCTACCCCTCATGGGGAGCAGGAGGGATTTTTTTCGACGAAAAGAAAAAGTTCGTGAAAAGATTCGAAAGATATGTGATTCGACTCAGTTTTTTATGCTGATTCCTAACGTGTAAAAAAATCAGTAGACTGTTATGGCAGTTTTCAGAAATCCAGCGTGGTTTTCCAGAAATCCTCTAAAAAAGCCGATCTTCGAAATTTTTCTCAGAAAGGATTTTGCTTAAGAAAATATGCTCCTGGATCTTGACTATCAAACGGTGAAAACCGTAGATCTCCATCTGGTTCCTATCAACAGTTATTCAAAAAACATCCGACTGCCTTGAATTCTGGCGCCGATAGTAGTCAGTAGCAGCAATGGCGACACATCAGACTAGTTAACTCGCTTCTATTCAGTTAGTTTTGAAATACATGTTGAATGAACAAGCGTCACTTTGTTATTTAGATTGTTTAAACTGACGTTTGTCTGCCGTTAGACCGTAGTGGACCATCAGAAAAACTCGTCAGATGTTGAATACTGTCGGATGAAACATTCGAATCCATCTTTTATATGTTTTTTATTTTACTTTTCGTGTCTGTGGACTAGTCTGAACTGAATATACAGACAAAACGGATTAGACATGATGAATGTAAGCATGTTTTGGACCAGTCCAGACACAGTTGAAGGAAACTCCTCGAAAAGATCATTGATGATCCTCACGTTTATTCAAAAAGTTTTATACTACATGCGAAAAGTGGTTTAAACACTTCCGGTTAGTCATGTTGAGAATTTTCACTTCTTTTTTGCTTACTTGGGTATTGAAATATATTTTTGTTTACTTCTGTTAAGAGAATTGAGATTTACTCAAGTTGACATTAATGATTATATAGATTCTGAGCTACAGTTTATTATACTTTGCTGTTACAATTTATACATCATAGTTGCTCACACTCGTTGAATTTATGGATGATGCATAAAATGAAGTTGATTTTCAAGACTTATCCATAATTGAAATGCGATTCGTTGAATCTGCGGAATATTTTTTGAAGAGTAAACGTTATACATTAAACGATACGTCGCCGCGGATCCAGATTGCTTTTAAAAATCGTCCTAGTTTTGGCTAGTAATCTTGTTTTTTCAATTTTCGGCACTCTTATGAAAATACATCCAAAAATCAGAATTATTTATCAAATCTTGAATGAATCAGAATTGTTTTTAAAAAGTCAGCATCTGGCGCGGTGCATAGTTAAATAAGTTTCTGAAAAAACCTTGAACATTGAAAAAGTTCAATTAGTCTTAATGGGGAATAATTTGTCGTATTCTGTAGAAATAAATATATAATCATGACTTTTCTTTATTCAAAACCTATCGAATGACTTATAAAGAATTGCGGTGTCAATATTTTTGAAATTTCTTCTCTATTATCTTCTTGATTAAAACACTTTTTTGATCAAAAGATACCGCTTGAAAATCTCTACAACGATATATATGATTGACTCTGAAAAGTGTTTGAGATATATTTGAAAAAAAAAGATGAAAAATAAAGATTTAGAAACAGCTATAAAAAAAATAAATATGAAAACTGGTAATGAATCAGCAAACATTTGTCGTACTTTGAACAGTTTAGTTTCAAAGCGTAGAATTAGTTTTTGGTTAAGAATAATATTAAACACCTTCCAGTGACCCACACCCAGTTCGTACAAGGATCATCATCTCGAAAGTTAAAATGGTGTCTAGGTCAGAAGAAATGAGTATCAACAAGAAAATTAGCTACTCTATATGAATGTGTCAAAAAAAGCTTGTTAGCGCAGCCTCTTTGGATCTGAAATATGAAACGCACATATACTCTCTAGCCTCATTAAAGTAATACAAAAAAAAATGTAAACTGAAAAATGTCTCGTAGACTATAGCTGTTTTGAAGGATAATCAATCACTAGAGTAAGAACCTCTCTAATTTCTACACTCCAAATAGAAAATTTTTATCTTTTCTACAAGTGCCTTACTTTTTGTTCGCATTGTTGCTATTCACTCAGTATTTCCCATTTTATTAAATTAGCTTTTCTTAATTTAACATTCTTATTATTATAATTATTGAATTGATTGACAAATAAGCGTGTTTTACAGATATATGATATTTACAGCAGATATTACGCACAACTATACATATATCAATCAACTCACAAATAATGGGGTCTATGACTATTGTGTGTAAGACAATTGTGTGCAGACACTTGTGTGTAAGACAATTATGAGAACAGACGGTCATGTGCATGCACAGGTGTGGGTGTGAGTGGGTGTGGGGTGTGGGTGTGGGTGTGGGTGTGGGACTGGGTGTGTGGGTGTGGGTGTGGGTGTGGGACTGGGTGTGTGGGTGTGGGTGTGGGTGTTGGTCTTCTCTTAACCCACCCACATCAACACCCACACACCCACACCCACACTCACACCCACACCCACACCCACACCCACACTCACACCCACACCCACACCCACACACCCACACCCACACCCACTCTGCTACAGACCCACCCCCCCTCCCCCCTATTACAGCC